AAATTTAAAAACAATTTTTTTAAATTACATATGAGATAAAATATGGCAGTAAAGGTGGAGGTGGAAGGAAAAAATATTAGTCCCTCTCCTTCCAAACCATGAGAGGAATCTACTAGAGGGAAAATAAACCTATAATAAGCTCAGCTTACTAGAATTTTCTTGTGAAGATGGAACAAATGTGGATGCTTTTACTGAAAAGACATGGTGAGACATTTATTTGTACTAGTGACATTTTGTCATGGACACAATCTCTCAGTCCCAAACCAGCAGACTATATACTCATGAGGGAGGCAAAAGGGTGCATAAGCCCAGGACTGCCTTTGACCTTGGCTTCCAGTCATCTGAGAGGATGGCAGGTTGGCCTGCTTGCCTGACGACCTCTATGACGGCCATCTCCCCCCATATTCATCTCTTCTGGGCCATACAGTTGCTCCTGCTATGTGCTTGGCTGTTCCTCTGTTGTGTTTGTGGCCCCTCCCTGTGGGTGCCCACCCAGCCACATGGTCACCTGTTCTTCTTCCCTGGGTACAGGTTGCTGGAGGCACAACTGCAAGCCCAGAGTCTGGAGCATGAGGAGGAGGTAGAGAGTCTCAAGGCCCAAGTGGAGGCCCTGAAGGAAGAGATGGACAAACAGCAACAGACCTTCTGCCAGACACTGTTGCTGTCCCCAGAGGCCCAGGTGGAATTCGGTGTCCAACAGGAGATATCTCGACTGACCAGTGAGAATCTGGTAAGTGGTCATGCTTCATGGATTGCAGCTCTGGGCAGGGGGTCATGTTCTGTAAGAAAGTAGGATCACAGGCTGCTTAGCCAGCTGAGAAAGAATCATGTCCCTTAGCTCTGTGGTAGGAACAGAGATCTAGAACCCCCTTTCTGCTGATAAGTGATTTCTATCAAGCTGAAAAGATTAAAATAGCAACCTCAGTGTGTAGATCAGGAATTCTGGCATATCCTGTAGGGACTGCTTGCTTGTTCTCCACATGGGGCTGGAAGATCCATGACAGCTTCATTCTGGTGTCTGTTCCTTGTTCTTCCTCCCTGAGGTCTCAGGTCTCTTTCCATGCCTTCTCTCAGTCATGAGTCTAGCCTGAGCTACTGTATATGGGACTGGTTTCCAATAGGATGAAAGATAGGGAAGCAGGAGTTGCAGCGCCTCTTAAAGCCCACTCCTAGAATCAGCACAGCATCACTTGTGACATTGCTGTTAACCAAGACAAGTCACATGGCTATGCCAAGTGTAGTGGGAGATGGACTTATCTCTTGGTGGGAGGAGAAATTGTTGGTGGTTATCTTCGGTGGCCTTAGCAGATACTAGAGACATGGAGGAGCGTGTCCCCTAAGAGAGATTACAAGTCAGGAGAAGGAAGGCCAAAGAAGACAAGGAAGGTAGTATTTGTAAAGACGTAATTCCAAGTGAGATTAATAGCAAGTATTACAGAAAGTGAAAGAATTGGAGGGGAGGCTTAGTGATGGGAACCACATTTCAAAAAAAAATTGAAGGGCTGGAGAGATGGCTCAGCAGTTAAGAACATTGGCTGCTCTTGCAGAGGACCTTCAGTTCCCAGCACCAACATGGCCGCTAACAACCACCTGTAATTTCAGTTTCTGGGGATCTGATGCCTTCTTCTGATATCTGGAAGCACTGCACATACATAGTGCACTTGCATACATTTAAGTAAAACACACACACACACACACACACATATATATATATATATATAGGTCTTTTTGAAGCAGAGTCTCCCTGTAGCCCCAGCTGTCCTGGAACTCGCTATATAGACCAGGCTGGCCTTGAACTCACAGAGATCCACCTGCCTCTGTCTCCCAAATGCTGGGACTACAGGTGTGCGCCACCACACCCGGCTTCTATATGTATCTTTAAAAATTTGTTTTAATGAATGAGTTGTTGAGCCAGCTTCTGTCACATTGAAGGAAGCGGTGTAGAAAATGCATTTTTGAGCTTGTGATTCCTGGAGGGCCACTGGACATGTAATGTGGTGGGTAACCATCTAGCAAAGAGGGCTGTGTACCATGGAGGTGCTACATTCACTGAAAGCCTAGGAGAGTCAGTGGGCAGTCCCACCTTGAGAAACTATGTGGCAAGACAGTATGATAGGCCTATCTGCAAGACTAGCAAGCCTTGGGGCCTGGGTTGCTGCACAAGTGAAAATGAGGATGGACAAGGGGGCCCCAGCTTACCACCTTAGAGCACATAATCTGCCTTCCTCATTTCCCCAGCCAGGAGTTGTGACTCATAAGCAGAGTCAACGAGCCACAGGTTCCAGGGACTATTCACGCTTTATTTCCCATGGTTAGCCAATATCCATACCTACCATGTGCTAGCAAGTGAATCAGTGGGTATCAGGCAAGGAGGAGAACATGTATGCACAGTTGACTACAGCATAACATGCTGGGGAATCTTAGGGGCTGACTATGTATAGGAATGTAGGGGAAATGGCTTATGGCTAGAGTGGTCAGAGAAGCCACTGATGTTCTCACAGGATTGGTGGGGGTGGGGTTGTCCTCCTGGTAGCATCTCATTAGCATGTCTTCAGGCGTGCTTTCAGTGCCCAGGTTTCTCTTGGGTTGAATTCTGTCCTGTAGGTCATCTAATATTCACCTCTGTGGCTTTGGGCCTTAGTAATAGTTCCACAAGTTTGCCGACTTTGTTTTCCCTTAATTTATCCTAAATTTGCTGATTTCAGACTTTAAAAATTCCCAGGTGGTTCCAATGTGCTTCAAATTTGGGGAGCACAGCTTTCCACAATCCTGCTTAGCACATTAAGAAGACTTTCTTCCTGGCATTTTAGATGAGGGACCATTAACCCAAAGAGCTAGCAGAAAAGATGCAGGAATTTAGCAGCACCATGAGTCCCAAATTGATATGTTCAGATACTTCTCAATCTGAGATTTGGGATTTTTGCTTGTTTACATTTATGTATGTATGTATGTATGTATGTATGTATGTATTTGTGGAGGTTGGGGTATTTGGGCACATGTACTCTACTGCACATGTGTGGAAGTTAGAAGACAACTTGCAATTGTCGGTTTTCTCCTTTGAGCACATAGGTTATGGTGCTCAAACTCCAGTGGCCAGGCTGGGTGGCAAGTGCCTTTACCTGCTGAGCTATCTCACCAGCCTCCACTTTTTAAATGAAGCTAAATAAAGACTCTCATAATTTCTGTAACTAGGTTTGTTGTTTATGAAGTCTATAACACTGGGATTGATTCTTATCTGCAGGCCCACCTTAAAAAATTCTCATACATACTCTGGCCTCTGTGGGCACCTGCACTCACGTGCACCTGAGTGCACAGAGAAACACATACATATAATTTAAAATAAAATATATTTATATTTATTTATTTTTTATGTGTTTGAGTGTTTTGCCTGCATGTATGTAAGTGCACCTGTGTCGTACAAAGCCTGCAGAGGCCAGAAGAGGGCATCAGATCACCTGGAACTGGAATTATGGGCAGTTGTTAGCCACCATGTGGGTACTAGAATTTGGACTCAGGTCTTCTTCCAGAGCAGCCAGCTCTCTTGACTGCTGAGTTATCTTTCCAGCCCCTAAAATAAAATAAAACTTAATTTAAAAAAAGAAAGAAAAAAAAAAGGCAAGCA